AGAAAAAAAAAAAAAAATCCCTCTGGCATATAACTCTGCTGATGAAATCACATTCTATCTATCCCAGCATAATGTTTTTTCAGCTTTCAACATTTCCCCACCTCTCATACCCCTGCTCAGAATACAGAGGAGCTGAAACAAGCCTTTTAAATAGTTTTAAAAAACAATTCAATACCATTGGGTCTTTATAGTGGATTATTCTTAATAGTTTCATTGGGAATATAGAAGGTGAGGAAACACCGCTTTGCTATGAACTGAAAAGTAGCTTGGTTGTTTCCTCTTGAATACTAGCCTCAGGAACATTTTAGTACATCATCACAATTTTGTACCTACACAATTTCCTCAATACCATAAAAGAGTGGAAGCTACTCTGAAAGTTATACACCTAACTTAGAGCAGTCATAATGGTTGGGTTTTCCTAAAACAAACTAATATCTATATCGAATGGAAGAGCCATGAAAGAATCATGAAGCTGACCAGGAGTCAGGGGAAGACATATTGTCTGAACTTGAAATTGCAATAATTTCACAGCATTCTGCCAGGGCTATTTGAGGGGTGTGTGTGTGTGTGTGTGTGTGTGTGTGTGTGTGTGTGTGTGTGTGTTACCTGCTTTGGTAGATTCCAGTAGCTTCATCTGTGCCATCTTCTGTCTATTGACAATGGAAGTGGAAATTTCTGTTTGTTGGTTTTGTGCAAGGCCAGCTCCCTTTAATACAAAAATGAAAACAGGAAGCTTGTAAGTCCTAACATGAAAAAAGAAAATTACTTATTCATAAGATCACAAGGTGTAAACCCTGTCCTGGGTATTATGAGGTCAACACTAATTTTAAAAAAGAGAGATAGAGATAGAGAAAGATAAGAAAAGAAATAGCAGTGAGAGCCCCTTGGTTCAGAATTTAGGTTCACAAAACCTAAGCTGGTTCAGGTTTAACCACTTTTCAGATCTGGAAGAAAGGATTGTCTAATCATATATATAGTGTAAACAGGTTAACATGAGAATTATTTAACTTGAGAACAACCTTTTCCCTAGCACTTAACAGCATTTGTATGGTGATTACACACAAATCTTATCAATTAACTGAAGTGAGTTCCATAGGATTTCTATTTAGCAAAACTTGTTGACATCTGACTTGCACTCCTTGCATTAGAAAACAATATAACTGTAGGCCTTTTCAAAATTGTACAGTTTAAGCTTTTCAAATTAACCTCTCCATACTGGTCTAAATTAATGAGTATATATATACTTATAGGTATAAAATATCTGTAAGGATAGTTACTCAACTCTCACCCCAGTGGTTACCTTTGGGTTTTTTTATGACTTACTCCTTATTTCTCAACCAATTTCACAGAATCCTGCTTTAGAATGTTTAGGACATGAACTGATTTACAGAATCTTCTCACATTCATTACTTTCACGTACCCTTTAAGAGCACAAAGCGGGGCACGTTTGTTTGAGTACAAAGCAAGTCTTATCCCCTGAAGAGTCCTCATCTTGATTAATGCAACCAAAGAAGTGGAGAGCTGCGTGACTGGCAAAGTTCCCAATGCAACCTTTTGGAGTGTTTTGTGGGCTACCCCAGGTCCTACCTCATATCTAGGCGCCTTAGTGTCAGCCGTTGCTCCAGCTCTAGTCTTGGTTTTCAGTTCTTTCAGAGGAACCTGGGTAGGGAAATTCCTCTGTCTCTGCTTTGCCATGGTTACCCAAGATGGCTGTGAGGTGGCATAACCTGATTGTTGACCAGGAGCCTTTCCTGAGAAAGGAATTAAAGGAGTTAGAACTGAAGCGAGGCTAGCGGAATCTTGAGCCTGGCTGGAGCCTACCCACAATAATGTCCCAATGGTATCCTTGTGAATTGCCAAATGAAAATAGATATCACATAGAGAAGGGCCCCTTTCTTTTGTGCTCTCCCCACAACCTGCCAAGGCAGGAGTTCCTTGGGTAGATAAGAAGCTGTACTTAGAAGTTTACATACTGTCCTCTTACTGGTCCCTTTCCCTCCCTTGTCCTTCCCTCTTCCTATCTCCAAATCATGATAGGACAATGGTTGCCAGGTGGGCTGGAAAAATTCCTAGGAGGCCAGAGGCTCAGGCCATTGGCCATTAATGTCATTCCTCTAACTTCAAGGAAATGCTTACAGTATTTGTTACTTCATAGTTCCTCATGCAAGTGTGTGGCTGTGGTGATAAGTATATACAAGACTGTGTGGGTGTGGTTATAAGCATATACAAGACTATATGATTGTGAGTCTGAAGGTGCAAAGGCTTTGTTAGAGATTAGTGCTCAAAAGATCACCTAGCTCTGGAGTCTTAGACATTTCAGGTGAGTGAAGAAGCTGTGGAAAGTACAAACACAGTAAATTAAGATTTCAAGCTGAGAGTCTGAACATAGTGCTCTATTAATGAGCTGGCTTAAAAAATCCACATGGTGTTGGGGGGAGCATAATACATGTAAAAGTGTTTTGAGGAAAACATAAAATTCCATCTAAATGTAAGGTGTACAGAGGGTGGGAGAGAGGGAATGAGGACATGGTCATGTGTCCATTAGAGAATCCATTAATCTAGAATGGGCCACTATCCTGCCCCTAAATCAACAAACCAGCCTTATCAAAGGAAAAACTCAGCAGACAAGGCTAGAACAGACTTCTTCCCATTAAAGACTGATTTCCAGTTCTTCCCTCCACTTGGTACCTAACTGCATCTGGAAAGATAAAGTCTCACCTGGGATTTTGTATTCAGGTTGCTTCTTGATCATGCTCTCAGATTTCGGCTTGCTCTGTTGCTTCTCTGCAATGTCAGATGTTGCGGTGAGGTTCTCTGTGATGCCCAGGAGCCCCTGGGAAGCACTTCTGATTTGTGGTTTATCTCCGGGAGATGAAATTGGGCCCAAGGAGAGTGAAGGAAGCTTGTTAAAATGGCTTTGTTCCTTACTCTTGTACTTCTGAGAGGAAGGGGTCCTCCTCAGTCGGACTCCAAAAAGGCTTTCAACATCAGCCTCACTGGTGGATAAATTTGAATAGCTGTTATTTGGATCACTACTCTCAAGAACCTCCTCCTTAGAGTAAGTGTCCCCAGAAGTGGATGGTGGCCAGGTAGGAGCGACGGTGAACTTCACAGGTTTGGTAGCAGGAGTCGAGATGTTCTTAGTGACATCTTCAGAGCCTTGGCTGTGTTTCCTGGTTTTGCTTGGAGAAGCTGGACCTCTTGGTAGGGTCCACCTTCTAGGATTGCTCTCAAAAATGGTGCCCTTAGCAGCAGCACTCATGGCTCTTGGATAAACTTGTTGTTGATATTCAAGGTGTGCAAAAGCCTGAAAAGCGTGTCTGGGAAGCATGTGACTCTCAGCACTGCTCCACTCTACAGGTACACTCACTGAGCCTGTGGAGGTCATCTGTCGCTGCAATCCAGCCCCATCCGCAGCTTGGACAGGGTATCTGGAAGGCAGCTGCTTTCCAGAACACTTCGATTCTTCAAGAGAGCTCTTAGTAACTGAGACTTTTTGCTCATACTCAAGCTTCCCCCAGGCCTGGGAGAGGTATCTGGGAGGCACCTTCTCTTGAGGAAAGCTACACTTCACTGGAGCATTTTCTGAATATGAGAAAACTTCTTGTGCGTCTTCAGGCCTTCCCAAGGACTGTAAAGGGTATTGCATAGGCAGCAGCTTCGATGAAATGCCTCCCTCAATATCGGCACTCTCCCAGCCTGAGAAAGCTTGGTGCTCAACTTTAGGCCACAGCAAAGATTTGGAAGCTTGTTTTGAAGACAGAAGATCCACATAAACCTGCTTCTCCATACTAGGGTTCTCTGAAAATATATTTTGTGCCATAAACTTCACGAATGACTGGGAAGGACACCTGGGATGTGACGATTTCTTAGACTTGCCTCCTTCAACAGCAGTGTTCTGTGGAAGCGAGGATATTTCCTGAATTTTAGACTTTATTGAGAAGTGGGTGGGATATTCAAGAGGCAGTGGCCTCCCAGAAACACATCCAACAGCAGCATTCTCAAAAGTTGGCATCATTTGCTGGACTTTATGTCTCACAATGGACCAATGTCTGGGAGGTGGCAGCTCTGTAGAAGTGTTCCCCTCAGTGGCAACACTCTTTGGACCTGCAGAGATCGGTTGTTTGATTACTGGTTTCATCACAGGCTTAGAAGGCTTTCTGGGAGGCAGAGGCTCCATAGAAATGCTCCTGTCAGTCCCAGTGCTCTCTGGACTTGCATAGGTTTGTTGCTTAAATTTAGAGCTCACCCAGGGCTGGAAATTGTATCTGGGGGGCATTGGTTGTGCGAGACCACTCCATTCTGCAGGAGCACTCACTGAACCTGAGGGGACTTCTTGCTCAGCAGCTGATCTCATTAGGGGCTGAGAAGGCATTCTTGGAGGCAGTGGCTCCACAGTAATTCCCCACTCTTGAGCAGTGCTCTCTGGATCTGCAGAGGGTTGTTGTTCAAAGCTGGTGCTCCCCCAGGGGCAGAAGGTGGGTCTGGGAGGCATCGACTCCACGGGACTGCTCCATTCTGTGGAAGCACTCCCTGGGTCGCAGGAAATAGCCTGTGGCTGGATGTTAGGCCTCACCAAGGGCTCGCAAGGGCAGTTTGGAGGCGGGAGCTCCACAAACATAGTCTCATTACTAGCAGTGTTTTCTGAGAAGATATGCTGGTCTTGAGGATTTGTCAAGCATTGGGGACAACATTCAGAGGATGTTGGCTGCACTGAAATGACCTTCTCAGCACCCCCTGAACTTATGAACATATTTTGTTCAACTTTTGGGCTCATCAAGGGCTGGGCAGTAACATTAGGAGGCAGAGGCTCCATAGAGATGCTCCCCTTTACAGCTGGGCTCTCTGGATCTGCAGAGGTTTCTTGCTCAACTATTGGTTTCCCTGGGGGCAGAGAATGATTTCTCGAAGGCTGCAGCTCCAGAGAAGTGGCCCCTTCAGTAGTAGCCATTTCTGTGCCTGAAGAGATTGGTTGCTCAACTTTACGCCTCATCAGGCGCTTTGAAGGTACTCTGGGAGGCAGCGGCTCCATAAAAATGCCCCACTCAGAAGCAGTGCTCTCTGCACCTGCAGAGGCTTGTTGCTCAGATTTAGGGCTCAGCCAGGGCTGAAAAAGGTGCCTGGGAGGCATTGGCATCCATTCCGAAAAAGCACTCGTTGAACCTGAAGAGAGTTGTTGCTGAACAAGTGGCTTCACAAAGGGCTGAGGAAGTTGTCTAGGAGAAATCTGCTCCACAGATACACCCCAATCCTCGAGTATACGCTTTGAAACTGAGGAGGTTTCCTGTTCGTCTGTGGGCTTCCCCAAGGCCTGAGAAGGGTTCCTGGGAGGTGTATCTTCCTCAGAACTGCTCCAATCCTTAGCATTAATGCATTTTTCAAAATAACTATTTGATTCTGTTGACACTTTGTCTTCAGGCTCCCCCAAAGCCTGGGAAGCACATTTGGGAGCCAGCTGCTCAGGAGAACTGCTCAACTTCCCAACAAAACTGCTTGATTCTGTGAAAGCTTCTTGATCATCTTTGGACTTCCTCAAGGGCTGGAAAGAATATTTGGGATCCAGCTGCTGTTCAGAACCACTGCCCTCCTCTGAAGAGGCACTCTCTGAATCTGAGGAGAATTCTTCATCTTCGGGCTTCCTCGAGGATTGGAATAAGTATCCGGGACCCAGCTGCTGCTCAGAACCACTTTCCACCTCCGAATTACTATCTGAATCTGAGGAGACTCCTTCAGCTTCTGGCTTCCCCAAAGACTGGGAAATGCCTCCCTCTGCTAAAGCACTTGCCATATCCAAAACGCTTGCTGGAAAGGCCTGGAGGACATTTCCAGGAGGCTTTTCTTTGCAGATAGTTGAGGTATCCTGAACTGACTCCATTTCATACTGGGCACTTTCTGAATCAGAACTGGAGGAATCTTCCTCTTCTGACTGGCTATGAGAAGGATCCAAACACACCTGAGCCTCCCCTGGCACTGAGAACATGACATCTTCTTGGGATGTAGAAGAGCTTTCCACCAAAAGAGAAGCTCTGGCTTCTGACTTCTTGGTTCCAAAAGCCCCTTCTTCATGATATTGTGATGGACCACTAGCCATGGACTCTTTCATGTCTTTAGGTATGGGATATGATACCGATGCTTTTTGGGTTTTAAAATCGAAACCTGCCTTTCTCCTTCCCATGTCATTTTTATCTGAAAGCAACTCCTGAGGAGTAGTGGTTTCTAATTGCAGAACTCTGGGCTGCTTCATGACTTGTTTCTCCAAGGACAAGTGCTGGAAAGGGCTACCCCTGGTGATATTATCGGCAGGTGGGTACCCAGCTCTATCTCCTAAGCCAAGCTCTTCAATGGATTGTTTAGAGCTCCTTCCTCTGGGTCCACACTCACTCGTGCCTGAAGCACTTGATTCTTTTCTTCCACGTCGTCTGCCATATGCTGCTGGCCATGAGTAGCCCTGACTCTCAGCATCATCTGTGTTTGCAGCCTGATCTGTTGCCTTATAAATCTCAGTTTTGTTGCTCTGTTCCTGACTTGAGGGACCTGTACCAAATAAAAATAAGGAGAGGAAAAATATGTGGGCTTTTGACTTCCTAAAATAAGAACAATTTTCCTTGGCCTAATGAGTACCTATTTGCTATTGAATTTTCTAGCATGAAGAAGTAGCTATTCAGAAGATAGAGAGCAACTTGTTCACTAAAATTGATGTGAAATCCCAGTTTTATGAACTAATTCTAAGGTTGGTTCATTACCATTATATCAATAGCCTGGTCCACCATTAGGAATGAGACACATCAAAAGACAATTTTTGAACTTGCAGCAATAATTATCATTTAGGAAACTGACTGGGGCAGGGCAAGGGGAAATTTTACTTTCTAATTAGTATTTATATTTTCTATTTAATTCTACTTAATTTTCATATCATATGCAGGTACTCCTTCATTTTTTAAGAAAGGTGTCAACAGGGATTATCTGGGAGGTAAAATTATAGCTCCCTTTTCTTCTGTTTTCTACTCTCTTGTTTTGTTTGTTTTTAAAATCCTCACCTGAGGACATTTTCATTGATTTTTTGTTTTTAGAGAAAGGGAAAGGGGAAGAGAAAGAGAAAAACATCAATGTGCGAAAAAAACATTGATTGGTTGCCTCCATCATGCATCCTGACAAGGGCCAGGGATCAAACCTGCAACCTAGGCATGTGCCTTGACCGGAAATAGAACCCAAGATCCTTCAGTGTACAGAACAACGCCCCTATCAATTGAGCCACACCATCCAGGGCCACTCTCTTATATTAAAATAATCTGATATAATATACATACAAAGAAATTCTTGGAAAGCCTTAATTGCACTAAGGCTTCTCCATAGACTTCAGGTCAAGTACAAGGCAACAGTTATACAGATTGTTTCTCTCCTCTGTATACTTTTACTAAGGAACTCAATTTGATGCCCAGAAAGGAGGGCCCTTGCTGCCTTTCCTCCCCCATCATCCACTGCATCCCTAGCTCCACCTAGTGGCTTCATATCCAGCATACAGCAATGAGCATAGCTGGGTACACTCCAAACTACTTATTCTCATTATATGGAAAACTAATCAGTATCTGCCCCCATGGACACTGAATCAGTTCTATCCTCTGTGCATAAAAGGGACAACTATTAAAAGTAAATATGAAAAAATGATAAAAAGTAAAAGGAATTACTCATCTCTCTCCCTCTCTCTCTCTCTCTGCCGAACAGATTTGTTTTCATGAAAAAATTTGTTTAGGCCCTGCTGGGCATGGCTTAGCAGTTGAGCATCGACCTAGGATCCCGGCGATCGGGATTCGATTCCCAGTCAGGGCACATGCCCCGGTTGTGGGCTCTCTCATCATTGATGTTTCTATCTCTCTCTCTCCCTCTCCTTTCCTCTCCCTGAAATCAATAAAGATATTTAAAAAAATTGTTTAGGAGTATCCTGTCTTCAAACTCACATGTGAAATCCCTTGTGGAAAAAATATGAAATAACTGTTTGGCTTAATTTGTGAAACTGGGGTTTTGTTTTGTCAAGTATTGCTTGAAGTTAGGTTGTCATCAGCTGGAGCCAACATCCACACATACATACAGAAAGATTTTTCACTCCTGTGGTATTATTTGGTGATCTGATGGGTGTTGGCTGTCAAGGACATGTGTCTACAGCTGCCCCAGCCCTCTTTACCCATGGGTATGGAAATTGGTCTCACTGTTAATGCAAGACCTTTTCTCTCTACTGGAAGAGAAAAGCAACTTTAAAAAACTAGTTTGGGGCCAATTCTATAATAATGTCTGGTTCTGTTGCTGAGGGAATGTTAAAGGGGAAATTATTGGCTGCCCTCAGATATATGGGCTCACTAAGTAACTCAGCATGTACATTAGAGTTAGAGAGGATTAAAAAAATTTAAATTTACAAACACAAAACACCTCTGGTTGGAAATTCATTCAGACAAAAATAGGGATCCAGTTATGACCCTTTCCCTAAATCCCATGCAAGTGGCAATTGTATTAATTAGGCAGTTTAGATGGAGACACCTGGACCACATTAGTATGCATCTTAAATTGAAAGCTCTCTGAGAACCAAGGACAACTGGCCTAGGTAACTCTCATTATATAGCTCCCATCATATAGCTCTGTGCAATTAAGCTTGTAGTGCATGCTTCTGGGTGAGGGGGAAGATATGCCAACCTGCACTGTCTTTTTTGAGCTTCTTTTGATTAGCTGCTTGCAGTTTGGTTTTACTCTCCTCTTCAGAAACCAGTGGAAAGCTTGGCTCCTCCTGCTTTGGCTTTGCCTAAAAGAGAGAAGAAAGAGCTTGAATCAGACTAAAGTGCTCACCCACCCCTGCATAGTTGCCAAAGGGGAAAAATCAGGAAAAACATCCCTAATGTCCAAACGGCTCTGCTGGGAACATAACAATACCATTAACAATGAAAACTCTTTCCAATGGCATCCATCACCTGGTGATCATTTTACCTATTGGAAGTCATTCACCTACATTTGAAGTTTCTAATCTCTGAGTGATATGCTGCAGGGAACTCTCTAAAACACCCCTAGAGGCCACTGGAACACACTGCAAAGCAATAAATCTGAAAATGGGGTGTTGGACCTGATAACAATCATATTTTTGGCAACACTGGAATTACGAAATTTGCTTCATCAGACCTAGGAGCGAAATTCAAATCCCATTTGGCTTTTTGTTCCCCAGGGAATTTAGTGAAAATATGAATTATGTCTTTACAGCTCAAAAGCAGAAAGAGGATCGGGGTTTTGTTGGAAAGGAAGAGAGGAAAAGATGAAGGGTTCAGTCTTTATACTGAAGGGGTTGAAATTGGTTTAGAATAAACAAGGTTTTCAGATAATTACAGTGCAACTTTAGAGATGTCAGAGTAGCACTATATTGAACAGTGTCCAGAATTTGCTTAATGTACGCAAGCCTTTATGATGTACATCTCAAGACAAACATACAACTCTTTATGCTCCCACTTTACGTGCCTGTGCACAGACTCAGCTCAAAATGACTTCTGAGTAAATTAGGCCAGAGAGACCTGGGTTCAAATCTCTACTCCATCATTTACTCTCTGTGGATCCCTGGGCAAGTTATTCTCTAAATCTCCGTGTTCACATCTATAAATTAGGGATAAGGGGAAACCTCCTATGGGACTTGAAGGCCTAAGAAATTCTAAAACAGGGAGCAAGTGGCAGCAGCTTATGTGTCATATATGATCCTGGACCCCTTTATATTCATTCAAGTGTCAGGTAGAGAGTCACAAGGAAGAAGTAGATACCCCAGCCTTCTTAAAGAGTGCTACCCAGGCCTTTCCTCAATTAGGCTGTGCAGAAGGATCACACTAACTTTTCCTTAACCAACATTCTCCATCTCCCAGGTTTGGGAAGTGTCCAGGTGATGTGCATATGCAGGGTTTAATGCATAGTAATTAGTCATCCTCTGCTTGACACAGAACCAAGGAAATTCCTTCAGGGCCACTAGAGGGCCCCCTGGGCCTGCTGCCCTGCCTACTGTTCTATCAACTTGTATTTGGTGATGTAATTGAGATGCCTTAAGGAGCAACAAGGTGGGGTAAAAAGAGTACTGGGTTGGAAGTCAGAAGATTGGGTTCTGGCCTTAGCTCTGCCACCACCAGGGTGTTTGACCTTGGGCAACTATTCGTGCTTTAATTTCCTTCCTGTAAAATACTATGACTATGAAATCATTTAGACTCATTCAGTTTTGATTTATAGCCCTTTACTTATAACCCACAGTCACTGAGAAATTAGGTGTTTGACCAGTGAATTATCTTCCAGCCAACTGAAACATCTTTATAAACATCAACATCTTTTAATTCTTAGCTTTTAGTAAAAATCTTTCCCAAAGGCATTACTTCCCTACCTTCTTCAACAGAAATCAGGGAATACAGTTTAACTTTTCTTGATGGCACAGGCAAATAATAAACATTACATATTACATTGGACTACAATACAGTGTAGCCCTGAGGGACTTATAAAGGTGGGCAACATTCTTGATCCCTGTACTAAATGGCCCCTCTCTGCTATCAACTGTCACTTCTCCTTGCTGTCAGATCTCAGTTTGATCTGTGGCTGTGCTCTTAAAAGAATGGGCTCGCTAAGTGTAGCTCTGCCTGCTAGAAAGTCATGAGACAGGAATTTATGACATCAATGTGATATTGAGAGAACTTTAGAGGGGTTAATAGCTGAGTTTTGAATGTTTAGTGTTGTCCCAAATGAGTGTAACAGTGCTGCAATCGTAACACATGGGTTTTACCTGATTAATTGAAAGAATCCTGATTTAAGGCTATAATTGAATATCCTCTACAAAGAAGGTTGAGTGAATTCCCTGATGCTAAAACAATAAGCAGTTTCTGAGAGTTTAGGTTACTATTTCTACTTTCTTCAGTCCCTTTTATGTAAATTCCACATGCATAGGACATCTCAATTACTAGATTAAAGTTTGTTCACTTCTCCAAGGGTGTCAAGCCTGGGACAGTGCCCTTGACTTTACCACCTCTACTTAGAGTATTAATCCTCCAAATCATACCACTTCCCTAGGTGCAATTTGCAAAGCTTCGAACTCATCTTTTATTATGCAGGAGTTTATTCCCAAGCCTCTTGAAGGACTTACTTGAAGTTTCTTCTTTTGTTTTCGGGGGTTCAAAGCCATTTTGTGTCGAGCAGCTGAAGAATCCAGACAGCCCTGGGTGGTAGCTGGGGTGCTGAAACCAACAGGCAGCTGGGGGCTGCTGGGAGAGCTGAGCATGGCAAATGTTGTCAAGGACTGTGCACGGATGGGTCTAGATGAGGGCTCAAAGGCACTCTGAGGAAAATGAAAGAAAAGAAAGAAGTCAACTCATTATGCTATCACTGGCCTCCAAAGTTGGACATTCCTCTGGTTGAAGAATTCCTAAAGCAGAAATCCTTCATGAACCATTGTCCCTTTTTACTACAGCAATATTGACACTTCAGGTCAAAAGGATCATTAGTGGCAAGGTGCACACTTTCTGCTTGTACCCTAACAGGTGAAAACAAGAAGTTCAGGTTGCTCCTCTGCTTAGAAAGCATTCAGGGGCTCCCCTTTGCCCTCAGGATAGGAGCCCAACCATTTAATGGAGTTTACAAGGTCAGAGGGTATGCACGTTCTCTTGTCCTGTACCTCTGTTTAATTAACAGGGGCTAATTGGGGTGAAGGCACAATCTGTGTCAGTAAAACCCATCAGGGTTCTGGGATTTCTTCATAAGAGCGCTCAGTGGAGGGAAGAAAATCAGGCTGGAAGAGGGCTTGTCTGTAAGCTGAGTTTACATAGACAACACACTGCCCTTACTTATATTACTGTTCATGGGAAAGAGGCTGATGGCAGCACCCTGAAGAACTGAGTGCTTCCACCCCCAATGGTGTGGGGATGAAACATGTCACCTTGTCCTCATTATGGCTGGCTTCCACCTCTCTAAACTATCTGGTCCTGGAGCTCCTAGTTGGGTTCTTCGTTAGGGGCTTCAAAAAAGTCTCCTCTGGGCTTCCTGATAGCATTTTTCATACCTCAAAGAGACACCCTAGAACACCTCTCATTGCTAAGAATCTCCACATATCTGGATTAGCAGAAGTCCCTTTGAAGGCCAGGTGATGAGCCATCTCTCTCCTTGAGACCAGTGGAAAATGATGTGGTTTAGCAGGTGGACAGAATTTCTGTTTGTATTTACTCACTAGTTCTTTCCAAACTAGCTCTACACAGAACCAAGGCCCCTTTGGTATTTGCAGCTTTCATATACCTTCACATTTTCCCACCACCATTGTACGTTGAGCCAGTGATAACCTTTGCTACTATCTTGGTTCCAAACATGGTTATTTTATGGCCTGTGAGTCCAGTGCCTGGGAAGTTAACACAGTGCTAATGATATCAGGTTGATGATACATCAAGCTCAACATTCTGTTTTAGATTTTAGGAAAAGGGGAAGGAATGGCACAGTTATTTTTTGTGGGGTCAATTACACAAAATTAAGAGTGGTCCCAAACCTTTCCTAACTTCTTTCTGCAACTGTTAGCCATTAATTTATCTAATACCTCTTCTTGGTACTGTATATTTGGCTTGTGTTATGTCTTGGAATTATGAATTTAATACTCAGTGTACAGAGTAATGTCTCTTATTTTGTTCTCAAAACTTTTCATGCTTCAGGATGCTCCTGTAGTTCTGACCTTTTGTCAATGGATGACAACATCTATGTTCCCACTAACCTCACATGATGTCTCCCCATTACCTCTCTGACCATACTGCTTACCACTTCCTGCTCCAGACACACATCTGATTTGCTGTTCCTCAAATATTCCATGTGTGCTCTTCCCTTAGGGCATTCACACTTACTATTCCCTCTGTAGACATGCTCTTCCCCCATGCCTGTGTAGCTAGTTCCCTCACTTCCTTCAGGTCTTGACACAAAAGCCATCTTCTAGTGACACCTTGCTGGTCAACCTATTTAAAATTTTAGCCCTCCACCTTGACATTTCATAATCCCTTTTCCTATGTTTTTTCCCCTTGGCACTTTTATCAGTGTCTAACATACTGTATATTTTGCTTATTTATCTTGTTTTATTGTCTATTTCACCACTACAAATATAAACTCCATGAATAATGGTTTTCATCTGTTTTATTTACTACTGTATCTCTAATACTAGGAAATGTGCTTGGTCCATAGCAGTTGCTCAATGAATGTTTGTTGAACTGTTGAATTAATTATGTTAAAACTTCCACCAAGACATTGTCTTTCTGAGAAATTGTCAAAGGAAACCCATCTCTGTCCTCTGTATCATTTTAGTTATTCTTTCTGAGACCTCGTTAGTTCCAGTTAAAAGTAAAAAGAAAAAGTCAGGGAGGTCTGTGGAGATATTGGATGAAATGGATAAATTCCTAGACACACCCAAACTACCAAAATTTACTCAAAAAAAACCAGGAAATCTGAATAGACCTCTAACGAGTAAAGATACTTAATCAGTAATCAAACCTCCCAACAAAGAAAAGACCAGGACCAGATGGCTTCACTGGTGAATTCTACCAAGCTTCTAAAGAAGAAACAACACTAATCCTTAACAAAATTTTCAAAAAAAATAGAAAAGGGAATGCTTCTTAATTCTATGAGGCCAGCATTACCATGATTCCAAAGCATGATAAAGGCTCACAAGAAAAGAACACTATATGCCTATTTCCTTCATGAATACACATGCAAAAATACTAGCAAACAAAATCCCACAGCATATTAAGGCAATTGGGTCAACATATGAAATCACTCAATGTGATATACCATGTTAATAGAATGAAGGAAAACAATAACAGCATCCCAATTGGCATAGAAAAAGCATTTGACAAAATCCAAAAACCTTTCATGCTAAAAATTTCTAACAAACTACAGATAGAAAGCATATATTTAAAAAAACCATAGCTAACATTATACTTAATGGTGAAAATCTGAAAGCGTTCCCCCCAAGGATGTCTGTTTTTGCCACTTTTATTCAACATTCTACTGGAAGTTCTAATCAGAGCAATTAGTCAAGAAAAAGAAACAAAATGCATATAAATTGGAAAGGACAAAGTAAAACTATCTCTACTTACAAATAACATGATCTTAAATACAGAAAATTCTATATATAGATATAGTTATAGTCAATATAGTTATAATAAATGATCAGACAGGGGATTTAAAAGAGAAATGAAAACTATTTTAAAAAATAGAAATTTCCAGACTT